AAAAAAAAAACAATATACGGTTGTAGTTAATTCTTGTTGTATTTAAACTTAATAAACTGAAAAATTAGAAAAATAAATCGATCAAAAATTCTATAATTACATATTATTTTCAATTGTAAAAAATTTTCGAAAGTTTGTTAGCTGATTAATTTGACTAATGAATCTATTGATCGTAGGATAATATTTATTATGAAATAATTAATTTGAAACCTTTCCAAGATTTCCTTGACATATTGCATGTGTATTGCGTATATGTCAATCTTCTCTAATGTAATATATTCCTGACGTCATATGAATGATAATGAATGTCAACAAGTCAAAATATAACGTCAATGAATTTTTATACATTACAACAATTCACATGAGTCATCTTCTAGATGAGAAAATGTTTTATCAAATTATATGTAAACTTGCCATGTAATAAAAAAAAACAAAAATTCATAATTATTTTCTATTTATTTACTTACCATAGTCAACATTCGTTGTATAGGTGTTTGATCATAACTTGAACCTGAATAAGCAACATTATAATGTTTTAAAAAATATTTATATGATCGATAAAGTTCACGTTCTTCATTAGGAATTCTAACACTAATAAATATTCGAACAAAATCAGATTTTTTTAATGCTATTGAATATTCAAGTACATTATAAATATGACCATTAGCATTAATTTTTATTTGTATAATAGCTGCAAAACGTCGTGTATTCGATACAAAAAATGATGCAATCTCTGTTTGATCTTTATCAATAGTTGTTTTTAATGAATCAGCATTTATAAAATCTCCTATATCAACATTTCGATGTAACCATTTACTACTTAATATATATTTAATACATTTTAATGAACCTTTTTCAATTGCAATTACAAATGGTGTTTTACCATTAACATTTCTTTCAATAAGTCGTTGTAATGCCTAATGAAAATATATTTCGATAAAAATAAATAAATAAATAAATAACTTACAATTAATCGAGTTGTACTTGAACTAAGTCGTTTAAGTAATGATATAGCTCGACATAAAACAATATAATTACATTGTTCAGTTGCATAATGAAATACACTCGAACCAATATTATCTTTACATGTTAATGATAATGGATCATGTTCCATTAATAATGTTGCTGTTGATGTTGATTCAGCTTCAATTGCACAAAGTAATGGTGTTTGTCCTCGTATATTTAATAATGTATTAGCATGTGATGTTTCACTAATTAACATACGCATTATTTCTTCATGTCCAAGTTTAGCAGCTAAATGAAGTAATGTTTGACCTTGAATAATTTCTAAATCTGTACTTTCATCTCGTTTTGGAGTTATTGTATAATCATTCATAGTTGATGCTACTAATCCAGCAGTTATTTCAACTATTGGTGCTGAAACAATAGATGAAAGCGTTGGATTTTGTAATTTATTATTTTCAATACGAGAAAGTGCTTCTTTAAATTTTTGACGTTGACGTTGAATAAGTGTTATATGATGACCAAAATTTTGATCATCATCATCCCAATCGAATGAACTATCAGCTATAGGTTTTGGTGGATTTATACGCATAGAAGAATTTCTTTTAATTTTTGATAATTTATTATCACTTGAAAATTTATAATCATTTGAAAATGTTGTTTGATGACCAAATGGAGTATTTGGTTCAGAATGTGAATTATTTTTTCCTGGAAAATGTTCTTTACTTATCGATGCTTCGAATCGTGGTAATTTTGGTGAAATAATAAAAACTTGAGCTGGCATTACGATCTATTATGTACAAAAAAGAAAACAAAACAAGATATGATAAAGATTTATGAAATAATATAATGAAACTATTTAAATTTGTATTTTTTTGTTTTCTTTAGTTATTAATTGATCATCTTATTCTCTTATTTGTTTATTCATAATAAATATATGTGAAGTAATAATATTTTAGAATATGTTTCCTTTATTAGAATTATCTAATATGAACCGGTTTATTTATAATCATTCACTATTTCTTTTTTAAAATCATTTATTCAAGAGGAACACATTGACTTCATTGTAAAGAAAATTGCAATGATAAAAATAAATTGATTGAAGAGTCAAACAAATATATACACATTGAACTCTGGATTTGTTTCGATAGAGATTTAAAAAAAAAAGAAGTACATTTTTCTTTCCTATCTTAAATATTCCTTTATCAGTGTTAATATTTAAAAAAGAACTATTAAAAAAAGATTCATTCTCTATCCTCATCAGATCGACTATTACTTAACGAACACAATAGTCTCTACTTACATTTTCTTATGTTGAAGAATCAATCTGTTGAATTAATGAGTAAATGTGTTCTTAACTTTCCTTTCGTTGACGTCATATGAAATTCTATGTTGATATATTTATCAATGCCATTTACGCGCATAGGAAACACTTGTATAGATTTTGTACTAAATGAAGAATAACCTATATAGAACTAACACCCTATTTTTTTCTTTTTGATGTTATTTTGGATAATGATGAGTAGGTTGATGCAAGATAATATCAGATTTGTATATCAATACTACGTGGCAATGGCGTGGTTGCTTATCATTATCTTTCTTTATCATTCTTTTTTAGTGTTCTAATAGTAATAAGAAATAAATCCTAGACTTCTTGACCTTATTTTTATTTATTATCATCCAGAAAGACATCTCATTATGTGCATACATATAAGGCAAAAAAAAACAAAAAAAAAGAATATAATGAACTATGTCAGATCAATTATATCCGATTGTTGTTGAAGACGATAATGTTTTCGCCGTCCATGTGTTTGTTTAGGTTGCATTATTACATAATTATCACGAGCACTTGATGTTCGTCGTAATTGTGTTGTTGGTTTTATACTAAGCATTGACATATGTTCATGTTCATTATCGTTAGAAGTTTTGATTTTCTGTCGAGTAGATCGAAACATTTCTCGTAAATGTTGTAAAGCTTTTCGACGTGATGAATAACGTTGACGTTGAACAGCACCAACTGTTTGACGACGTTGAAGTTTTGTTGGATGAGTTAAAATAGGTGTTGTTGGATAGGCAACATCCGATGTTTCAGAATATTTATCATCATCATCATTCCATTCATTACCATCATTAACATCAGGCTATTATATAAAGAGATTAAAAATAAATATGTAATTAATAAGTCTGAAGTCGTATTAATCATTTTTTTATTGTAATACATAAAAAAAAGCTAAATGTAACATGCAGCAAATAAGAATTATATAAATTCTTTTCTATTACCACCCTTATTAGTAACTATTAAGTTTAGTTTAGCTTAATTTAACTTACATGTAGTTTTTTTTTATCTAAGCATGTGTAAGTATACGTTCATCCTAGAATGAATTCTTCGTTAACAAAAGATCATTACATGTATATCTGTTTTTCTGTATCTATATATATGTATTGAAGAGTACATAGAGGTAAATGAGTTCATAGTTTAAACTCACTAATATACAATATTATTTTTTCCAAAATATAAGAAAATTGTATTAAAAAAATAATAAAGCTAAATGAATTAAGACACCCATCCCTCAAAATTCTCATTTTATAGGTTTTCGATCGCATCTCCAACAATTCTTGAAGAAGCTTCATTGTAGCCAATAGGTTATTCTTTTTTAATTTGAAAGAGCGTCTAAAACTGCAGACATACTCTTTCAAACAAAAAAAAAATTAGAGATCACAGAGAATTTTTGCAGATAAAATGAACTATTTTTTGAATCTTGCTTAGTCAATATCTCTCTCAACGTTATTGTACAGGGCTAAAAATTTTACCACAGCCTTCTCACTACATTCCCAACATATTCTGAAAATTTCATGTCATTCGAACGTTCTTGGCCTGAGATTGATTTTTGAGGGGGAGGGTAGTCTTAATATAAAGGGAAGAATCGTAAATCATCTTAAACAATTTTTATTTATGTTGACAGTTCCACTTAACATCAAATCTATTAAATCAACAATGTTTATTTTCAAGTTTTTTTTTTTCACTGTCGTAAATGATAGAAAGAATTCAAATAGAAAAAATGATTTCCTTATTATCAAGATAGAGACTTCAGAAAATTAAATGTCTACTTTTTCAGTACATAGAACAATAGAGTAAAATAATTTTCAACAAAATGAGATGCCTCCGACGTTTTTTAACTGAGATACAACAATCTTACGGAAGTCTCTAAAGACGATTTTTTTTCCAATTATTTTTTGACTTTTCATCAGATTGCTGTATCTTAGTCATTGTCTGAAATTCCTATTTTTCTTATGATAGCAGAAAAAAAATTGCAAATAAACCTTGTTGAATAATTTTTAGTACTTACTGTGTCATATACAGAATTAACTATATATTTTAAATATTATTACTCACTAGACTTATAGCATCTATAGATTTTGATAATTCATCATGTCTAGATGTTCCTGTTGGTGAACTAATACGATTTTTAGTACGTTGTTGTTGTGTTGTTATACCAGCTGTAGTATGTCGTTCATGTTTACCACCCCAACGTAATCGATTAACATTTTTAAAAATATTTCTTGATTTTTTCGTTAAATTTTCATTTACTCCTCCATTATCTCCTATACCTGAACAACTATAACTATTCGTTCCAATACTATAAATTCCATTCTTATGATTTATTGTATGACCAGCTGAATGACTAATAGTATCTTTAGATTGCTGTCGATTAGTATTACTCACTTGACGTGTTGTTATTGGTCGAGTTTTTTTTAAATCACTTGAAGCTCGTGGTAATTTTTTTTTTGCTTTTAATATAACACTTTTTCTTAAATTAATACATCGAATATATTCATCACCTGTTGCATGAAGTACAGGTATACTACCAATTGCTATTGAATTTGTATTTATATCTCCATAACAAGCTAATTGTGTAAAATCATTTTGTTCATTTGAACTATTTTGTTGTTGTAAAACAGGATCAATAATAACATGAATAATTTCTTTCCAAGCAATATGTGGTTGCCAATCTGGATTAGTTGAATTTTGATATGTTTTATACATTGATGTTTTCATATTTGTCATTAATTGATCAAATACAACAGCTAAATTTCTTACAACACAATAAGTTAATATATTATGTCGAATATCACTTGGTTTTGTTCGACATGAATCATAATAAATTAAAGCATGATTTTTAATTAAATAATCAAGTTCTATTTTTGAATTACGACGTACACAACAAGCAAATGCATGAACAAACATTCGTTGTATAGTTGATGAATTTTCTTCTATAAATGGATCACCATCCATTTGATAATAACGATTTAATGTTGCACATAAAGATAAAAATGTTGTACAATTATTTTTTATTTGTAAGACACCATCTAAATTAGAAAATTTTACTTTTAATTAAATCTATATATATATATATATATATATACATATTTAACTTACCAAAACAATGTTCTAAATGTTTTTGAGCAATTGTACCCCAACGTTGAAGATTACGACGTTTAAAAAATGACTCAAATATTGTATTCATCATAATTGTTGAATCAGTCATACATGATATATAAAATGGTGTTTGATAAATATTAGCTAAAGCATCAGCTAATGGATCACCAAATGATTCAAAAAAATAATAATCAACTTGCATATATAATGATTCACCTGTTTCAGAACTTAATCGATATTTAACAATAACTTCCCATGTTATATCACTACGTTTACGTGATGATATTATATCACCATCAGGATAAAGTATTGTTGGTCGACAACCAAGAGCATTTTCTAAATCAGAAAAATGTTCTTCAATATTTTCACGTAATAAATGAAAATCCCAACGTGGATATTGAAGAAATATATCACGAAGAACTAAAACTGTTAAAAGACAACGAACACGTATTGTTGCAATATTTTGACGATCATCATCAGATTCAGCTGATTCATCATTTTTTGATGTATTTAATGTTGCTAATGAACCTGATCTACCAGTAGATAGAGGTTTCACATCTTGATTAACAATAAAACCATCAAATTGATAAAATATATGTGCTGATGGTCCTTCAGTTTCAGTATCACGATAAACTTGTACACTTTGAAAACGTGCATATTCTTTTCTATGCATATAATTAAGAACATGATTAAGAATACATTCATGATTAAGACCATCAAATTCAAAAAGATGTGATTCAAGTAAAATTTTAACAATATCTTCATAATCTACTTTATCACCACAAGTTGCAAGACATGCAAGAATAAGTGGTGATGGAATAAGCATTTGTTTTTTATCATATGTATGTAAAATTTTATCAATAAATTCATCACGTTGTATTAAAGGTAATGAACTTAATTCAAGTTCATCGGCATCTGGAATGTCACTATCATTTGTATTATTATTAATATTAATATTATTATTATTATTATTAAGAATATTTTCTGATAATGATGGTTGATCTCTTGTATCAATACTTGATCGTAATTTTTGTTGAAAATCTGGTTCTGATAATAAATGTTTTTGAATATCAATTGATGATGATTGTAAACGAGAAGCTTTTCGTTGTTTTGTTGTCTGTGTACTTTGTTCAACACCACATGTTTTACGTATATATTCATTTGGATTTTTATCAAATAATTCTTGTTTAAAATTTGGTATTAATAATGAAATTGTATCAAAATGAATTGATGATGTTGGTGATGTTAATGCATCACATATTGTTTTAACAGTATCTTTATCTCCAACATAAGCTGCATAATGTAATGGTAACCATCCACGTTCAGTTGTTATATTCATTGAAATA